TTATTTTATATACGATGAAATTGGTAAATTTGACAACGTTGCATACAATTTCATACGCAATCGTGTTTATTTATTTTTTTTTCTGAAAGGTACTTTTAACCCATCTACAAACATACGCAATCGTGTTGCCAAAAAGGACAAACGTACGCAATCGTGTTCTACCCAATATTTATTGAAAAAAAGCAAACTTTATGGATTGATTTTAGCATTTACAATGATTAGTGATTACTAATACATATGTGTTTTTCTTTTAAATTATATACCTTTTTTTCGTGTGTGTGTCTGTCATCACGTTTTTGTGCAAGATGCATATATTATCAATATACAACATAAGAGGCAGTTTCTATGATACCAAATTTGATCTAAATAKGTAGTAGGAAAATACCCACTAGTTATTTTTCTTAATAATAAGATAATATCAGCCTTACCAAATCTCAAACGATATTTGCGTCTATATAAAGTACAATKATTTTTGATTGAAAACATTACAGTGATGAAGAAGTCAAATAATTATATCTACCTATACAGCTATAATTCAGAACATGTCTCCAATGTCTGAACATACGTCACAGTTGTATACGAATGCGATTACTTTATATTAGTACATACCTACCTATCAATTAGTATGGAGGTATTTATGTTTAGGTACTCATATCTATACTTTATGTTATCGGTTTACTACCTATCAATGCCCAATGACAATATAAACAAAATTCGGTCAATTAAAATTAATGAATTCCTATATTTAGGAAAAGGCTTACAATTTAAAAATAAATTGTTTTATTATAATCATTGTATAACTAGTATTTATTGAAATATATAACATCATTGACATTATATTATAGCTAATATTATTTAGTAATGCCTTTTATACCGCACTTCTTCAGAATATATATATAGGTACGTATTATTGTGCATATATMAATTTATATATATTTTGTATCATTTATCTATGTATGAATGTATGTGTGTAATAAGTCACCTATCGGCTATCACTTATCAACTGTTTTGGTACAATAATTACGATTTTAAGACTTAATAATTAATTTCTAACCTGTTAGACAAGGGTTTATAATTTGTTCGTTTTGGTTCTGGTGCTGGGAAACCAAAGTTTTTTCCTGCTTCCGCCATTTGGCTCTACGATTTTGAAACCATACCTATAGATTGTTTAAACAACATTTGTTTTAAAAATTTTACATCGCGCACAGATGGGTATGATAAGTAGCAGTAATATTGAAGTCCGGATTAAAGATCTATTGGGCCCTAAAACGGCTAAAACACCATTAGGTACACTTAGTTTTAATTCACAAAATGTAAAAATCCYACCTTTCAAACTTCAAACATTGTTTAAATAGGTACTAATTTTTTATGTTTGTATAAAATCGTATGGTTTAAAAGTTTAAAACCTACCATTTAAAAATAAAATAATTGATAATACTGAAAAAACAATTAAAATAATTATGAAATACTATATGTTTTATAAATTATTAAAAAGTATTTAAACACAGATACTTTAGTCACTACAACAAGTAACAACCACTGCATAATTAATTATATTTTAAGCGTTAGACACTAGATAATATAAAATATTTTTACCTACTTTAAAAGAATCGGTCAAAATCACCTAATATTAATAAATAATTTTTTAATAATTATTATGTTAGAGATATTAGTTATTGAATATAAATTAATAATCACGTGGTTGAATCGTATACTAAWAAAA